AACTCTGACCAAGGATGTGAAAGATCTATTTGACAAGAACTTTAAGTCTTTGAAGAAAGAAATTGAAGAGGACACCAGAAAATGGAAAGATCTTCCTTGCTCCTGGATTGGGAGGATCAACATAGTAAAAATGGCAATTCTACCAAAAGCAATCTATAGATTCAATGCAATCCCCATCAAGATCCCATCAAAATTCTTCACAGATCTGGAGAAGACAATAATCAACTTTATATGGAAAAACAAAAAACCCAGGATAGCCAAAACAATCTTATACAACAAAGGAGCGTCTGGAGGCATTACCATCCCTGACTTCAAACTCTACTACAGAGCTACAGTATTGAAAACAGCTTGGTATTGGCATAAAAACAGAGAAGTCGACCGATGGAATCGAATAGAAGACCCTGACATTAACCCACAAACCTATGAACACCTGATTTTTGATAAAGGAGCTAAAAGTATACAATGGAAAAAAGAGAGCATCTTCAACAAATTGTGCTGGCAAAACTGGATGTCAACCTGTAGAAGAATGAAAATAGATCCATATCTATCACCATGCACAAAACTCAAGTCCAAATGGATTAAAGACCTCAATATCAGTCTGAACACACTAAACCTGATAGAAGAGAAAGTGGGAAGTACTCTACAACACATGGGCACAGGAGACCACTTCTTACATACAACCCCAGCAGCACAGACATTAAGGACCTCATTGAATAAATGGGACCTCCTGAGACTGAGAAGCTTCTGTAAAGCAAAGGACACTGTCGCTAAGACACAAAGGCAACCCACTAACTGGGAGAAGATCTTCACCAACCCCGCAACTGACAAAGGTCTGATCTCCAAAATATATAAAGAACTCAAGAAACTAGACTGTAAAAGGCTAACCAACCCAATTATAAAATGGGGCATTGAGCTGAACAGAGAATTCTCAACAGAAGAACTTCAAATGGCCAAAAGACACTTAAGGTCATGCTCAACTTCCTTAGCGATCAGGGAAATGCAAATCAAGACAACTTTAAGATACCATCTTACACCTGTCAGAATGGCGAAAATCAAAAACACCAATGATAGCCTTTGTTGGAGAGGTTGTGGAGAAAGGGGTACACTCATCCATTGCTGGTGGGAATGCAAACTTGTGCAACCACTTTGGAAAGCAGTGTGGCGGTTTCTCAGGAAATTTGGGATCAACTTACCCCTGGACCCCGCAATACCACTCTTGGGAATATACCCAAGAGAGGCCTTATCATACAACAAAAGTATATGCTCTACTATGTTCATAGCAGCATTGTTTGTCATAGCCAGAACCTGGAAACAACCTAGATGCCCTTCAATGGAAGAATGGATGAAGAAAGTATGGAATATATACATATTAGAGTATTATTCAGCAGTAAGAAACAAGGACTTCTTGAATTTTGCATACAAATGGATGGAAATAGAAAACACTATCCTGAGTGAGGTAAGCCAGACCCAAAAAGAGGAACATGGGATGTACTCACTCATATTTGGTTTCTAGCCATAAACCAAGGACATTGAGCCTATAATTAGTGATCCTAGAGAAGCTAAATAAGGAGAACCCAAAGAAAAACATATAGGCATCCTCCTGAATATTAACCTTCAGCAAGCGATGAAAGGAGACAGAGACAGAGACCCACATTGGAGCACAGGACTGAATTCTCAAGGTCCAAATCAGGAGCAGAAGGAGAGAGAGCACGAGCAAGGAACTCAGGACCATGAGGGGTGCACCCACACACTGAGACAATGGGGATGTTCTACTGGGAACTCACCAAGACCAGCTGGCCTGGGTCTGGAAAAGCCTGGGATAAAACCGGACTCTCTGAACATAACGGACAATGAGAACTACTGAGAACTCAAGAACAATGGCACTGGGTTTCTGATCCTACTGCACGTACTGGCTTTGTGGGAGTCTAGGCAGTTTGGATGCTCAACTTACTAGACCTGGATGGAGGTGGGGGGTTCCTTGGACTTCCCACAGGACAGGGAACCCTGATTGCTTTTCGGGCTGAGGGGGGGGGACTTAATTAGGGGAGGGGGAGGGAAATGGGAGACGGTGGCTGGGAAGAGACAGAAATCTTTAATAAATAAATAAATTAAAAAAAAAAGACTTCAGGGGGCACTCAGTCATAGCAGCTCCTCCATTTATAATAGCACAGAACTAGAAACATTTCTTATGTAAATGAATAACCAAATTATGATAATTCAGCTCAATGTAATATAAAAATAAAAGAAATAAGAAAATAAATGGGTATTTGGGGTACTAGAAGGTAAGCACATGGGTGTGCTCTGTGTGACTCCATTTATACACAGTTTGAGAGAAGTCACTAGATTTGATGATGAGCAAGTCAGAAAATGAACCTGGGAGAACAGAGATGGCAATGGAGCTTTCTTTGCGGGATCCCAGTGCAACAAATGGTGATGCTGGTGGGCATACATCAGTGCTCTGAAAACACACCAAATCCAGCCCCTCAGGTCCAGTTCTGTAGTTCTGTGCAATCTGGAAGTTAAGAATGTTTTGTTGTTGTTGTTGTTTTTCAAAGGTAATAAACAAATAAGATATGTGTCAGAAAGCATGCCACAAAGTCTGAGGTGCAGCCCTCTTTACACTGATGTTTGGAGTGAAATGAAACAGTATGGGTTAGGGAGGGAGCAAGATAAGTATGTAAGTGGAAGGAAAGAAGAGCGCCAATCCATCAAAACCAATGGGAACCATGTATGTAGCTGGATTTCAGAGGCATTGGAGATGGAAGGACGGGGCTCATGTGGGGCTTTCACCTTCTCTGCTGTGGATGGAAATGAGGAAGAAAGAGCAAAGCAGGAAGGACACAATCCTGCCTGCCAGGGAATTCAAGCTTCAGAGAGGAGTCTACCAGGAGGATATCTCAAGGGGTCGGTCCTAACCACACTATGTAGAAACTGTGAACATCTGCAGCACTCCTAGCCCCATGGCTTGTTCCATCTTTACCTGTTACCATAAATTCTTTGCCAGTCCTCTAGCATGCAGGCTGTAAAAAGGAGAGACAGTTTTCTGTCTTACTCCCTGATGTGCTCTAAGCCTCTAGAATTGCAGAAGGCCCTGGACAGGTGTTCACAGATCCATGTAAGGGTGCTGGTCAGGCTGAGGACACCCCTTCAAGGTCAATGCCAGATGCCCTGTGGCTGTGGGAGGCTGTGCTGTGCACTGCAGGCTGTTTGGCATGCCTTTGCCCCACCCACACCTGCCTGATGCCAGTAGCACTCCTCTTGCTGCTAGGACAAAATCTCTTAAGATGATGCCAAAACCCCTGTGGACAAGAACCAGTGGCTAGCCATGGGCCTTGGGGAGATGAGGGATCATTCATGTATTATTTGACAAACACTAATGGAGTGCAATGTATAGCTGAAGCATTATAAAAATATGAATCCAAAGTTGATAAGGTGTTGGATCTCACAAAATTTACAAAGTAATGACAAAAACCTATTAGCCTATTAAATAGTTATACACTGTGACCCATGTTCAAAGAAAATATACATGTTGGGAAAATAAACAGGAGAGATTTGTCGGGGGTGGTCTTAGAGAGGGCCTCTTAGAAGACACAGTTTAATTAAAGCCTTAGCATGCATGGGCATGGTCTATCCTCCACATGCTATACAGTATAGAAGCTGAGGGCTGAAGCTGAAAGGGGGATATGTGGAAGGAAATAAGAAGTACTTCATCTGGGCATGTCCTGAAGCTAGAAAGAGCCTGGAGCCTTCCAGGAAGGCTGGCAAGGCTGGAGGTTCATAGCAGAAAGGGTCCAGGAGGCTTGGGTTGAGAGGAGAAGGTGCACCAATACCAATGCTGTGGATCTACTCAGATGGCAATGAAAGCAAATGGCTACTGACTAAAAATTCACCACCAGGAGGAATGTGAGCATAAGTACACAAGAGGATGAGTAAAGCCTTCATGAGATATGCTGTAAGCCAGACAGTTCTGTTTCTGTCTCCAGGAAGTGCCAAAAGAAGGAGATTCTCATTAGAAAGAGAAATGGTGAGAAAAGCACAAGCCAGTGACAGACACAAGGGTGAGGGCTGGAACCACGTGGCTTGGTACCTTTTCTCAGTGCAGCGTTTTCGTCTTGCTTCCACTGCATCTGGGTGGCGACTGCAGACCAAGCCTTTTCTCTTCCCAGAATTCTCCTAGTCTGGTCGCCCTGGCTATATATACTTCCTTCCTGGCTACTGGCCAATTAGCACAAGAGCGCTTCCAAACCAGAAAAGCCAGAGTCACAGGCAGGGATGGCCAAACATAGGAAAAAATAGCCTAGGAGAGCCTTAAAAACCTGCCCCTCCCCAGGTTCAGATGACATGGACACATGTGTCCACACCTTTGTTTACAGTACTATCCACATTCAGGCGGCAAGTGTCATCCATTAGTAGAAAATGGTACCGACAAAGAAACACACAGACCGTCAGATATTGTTGCTGACATGTGGCAACTAGTGACTTGGTGCAAGCCTGCCATGGTGGTTTTGCTTGACTCTGCAGAAACTCATTTACCCGTAGCCTAACTGAGTGCTGGGGAGTGTTTATCAACTCAACAGAAGCTGGAGTCATCTGGGAAGAGGGAATGTAACTAATGCCTCTATCAGATTGAAGGGCATTTTCTTCATTAATGATTGATGTGATGTCACCCTGGCAGATGGTGCAAGGTGTATAAGAAAGTGGGATGAGCAAGCCATGGGAAGCAAGGCAGTAAGCAGTGTTCTTCCGTAGCCTATGCATTAGTTCCTGCCTCCTGGTTTCTGCTTAGGGTCCTGGCTTGGCCTCTCTCAATCACATTCTTGATATAGAAGTATAAAATCATATAAACCTTTTCTTTCCCAAGATGCTTTTGGTCATGATGTTATCACTGTAAAAGAAAGCAAACTAGGACACTGACCTTCCCCACTTCAAGTGTGAGTCAGTAAAATGCACAACAGAAAGGAATGCAGCCACCAAAGTCACAGAAATAAGAACCCACTTACCTGTAAGCATTAATATACTCCTTCCTGTGTTCCAGGAGAAAATCTCTCAGCTTCCCAATGTGAGAAATCTACAATGGAAAAGATGGCAACACTTTACATGGACAGGTGCACACTGAGTGGGCATATTTCTCCACACAGTAGAGCTCAGCTGCAGGGAGACTGCACTGTGAACTCAGGAACTTGTTTCTCATTTTGCTGGGAGAGGTGAATGCTAAAACAAAGTCTAGCCATATAGCTCAGGATGGCCTTGATATTGTGGTCCTCCTGCCTCCAAACTCAGAGTACTGGGATGACAAGCATGAGCCACCATAGCCAACTCACAGTTTGGGGTTTAGGATCTCACGGTCACTACTACACTAACTCTATCATACTAACTCTCATGGGCCTTGGGCTCTGGAAATGGCTGCTTCTTCCTAACTGTAGTGACCTATTATGTTAGGCAGACTACACCAGATAGCGCACCTCCTGAGCTCAATAAGGGGGAATTCATTTTTTTTTTTGAGTGTATTGTATGCATCTACATTCACAGACAATCATTTCTTCTTTCAAGTGTTGTAGGGAATGGATTCTGAGGCTGAAGCTGCAGGTATACAAACAAGACTTGTGGGAGCAGTACAAGTAGAGATGACTTGGACAATGATTTAAACCTACAGGGATCCTCACCTTCTTTGTGGGTGCTCCCACAGATGAGCAAGAAGCAATGGGTTGTGAAGATATGGCTGACTTCAAGTTTAATGAAAAGCCTACTCTGGGGCTGCTGGTGTAGCCTAGGCACATGAGCCCTTTCTGGGATCCTCCAAGCCCTGGTTCCATCCCCAGTACCGAGAACTAAACCAACCCTGCTATGGAGCACCTATATGCCAGGGGGTGTTAGTAATTCAGTCAGGTCACAGTCTTTAGGGACAAGTGTTCTGAAAGGAAGAGAAGGATTCGCCAGCAGTGGCCTGCTTCTGTCTGGTGACTACTGCTCACTCAGACCTCCACTCTTGCCTCTGTGCTTCTCCTGACTGATCTGCTGAACTTTCACTTCTCCATAAGATTTTCTGTTAAGACCAGCTCAGGATAATTTTCACTTTGCTGTGCATTTAAAAGGACCTCTGCACACCTCCCAAGCTGTTAAACGCTGACTAAGCTTTTATACGGATGCTTCTCTTTTCAGATTCATCATGGGCTACCCAGGACCCCTACACAGTGTCTTCACAAGCCTATGCACAGGAGACACTGAAGATAATCAGCATTCTCACATGAGACAATAGACCAGGTCTGTCTGGAGAGGTGTGGGAGCTGCTGTGGGATAATGCTCTTGTACTCTGTAAAGATTTGTCACTTATATTCGTTTTATAAAGTGCTAATTGGCCAGTAGCCAGGAAGGAAGTATATATAGCCAGGGCGACCAGACTAGGAGAATTCTGGGAAGAGAAAAGGCTTGGTCTGTAGTCGCCACCCAGATGCAGTGGAAGCAAGATGAAAACGCTGCACTGAGAAAAGGTACCAAGCCACGTGGCTAAACATAGATAAAAATTATGAATTAATTTAAGTTGTAAGAGCTAGTTAAAATAAGCCTGGGCTAATAGGCCAACCAGTTTATAATTAAGATAAGCCTCTGTGTGCTTCTTTGGGACTGAACGACGGCAGGACAGAAACTTCTTTCTACACACAGCTCTGATATGGAACCGGAAAGATTCTCATAAAATGTATAAACTCCAAAGAGAGCCAGACACAGGCCAGACCCAGCTGCTACCTACAGTTAGCTTGTTCTAGCCTGCAATGGAGAAATGGTACTGTAGGTGAATGCAGAAGCAAGAGGGCCCCATGGCTCACAAAAAGGCAAAGACAAAATGTTTCACTTTTAAAAGTCTAACAAAAGGACCCCAACTTCACCTGCTCAACAACAGCAAATTTTCATCCAATGAGTTCATTAAAACAGAGTGAAGTGGTCAGGCAGTGATGGCGCACATCTTTAATCTCAGCACTAGGAAGGCAGAGGCAGGCAAATCTCTGTGAGTTCCAGGACAGCCAGAGCTACACTCAGAAACCCTGTCTCAAAAATTAAAAAAAAAAACAAACAAAAAAAGTGAAGCTTACTCAGGATTAAATGTAATCCTTGCTAAGTTAAAAAGTTACTTGATATCATCAGGAGCCCCTCCCATAAGGTTGCTGGGAGAATTAGTTGTCTTCATGGAAGTGGCTGGGTAGGATGCCCCATGCTCCAGTGGTCAGCCCTCCACCCCTGCACATGAGAACAGCACCAGATTATAAGTTATGAAAAGAAGAGATGAACTTGGGGGAGTATAATGTTTGGGGGCCTAAGGTAAGCTGGAAGGGGCCAATATGATAAAAAATATATGCTGTATACATGCATGAAATTACCAAAGAATTCGTTTAAAATGGTATTAAACTCAACATCAGCATACTATATAAAATATTTAAATGCCAAGAATGAAACACAACAAGGAGACATTAAGATTTCTTTGTGTGCGTGTGCAGGTATGTGTACATGCAATGTGGAGGCTAGAGGCTGGTGTCCAGTGTCTCCCTCAATCACTCCTACACCTTACTTGAAGGCTTTCCATTCAGTGCTTTTTTAATTCTAGGCATTTGAAGGTGAGAGATTTCTGGTTAAAAGAATGACTAGTAAGAGATACCTAGAGCAACAACTAGGACCCAACAGTCTCTAGCTACTGCATCTAAGTACTTGCAGTGTTCGTTTATGTTCTACTAAATGCTGTAAGAGCCCATTAAAAACCACCAGAATAAAGCCTGACTCAAAACCTCCTCCGGGAGAGATAGAATCTCAAAGCTCTGCATGCACTAGCTTGTGATGCTGCTGCAAACCTCCCAGGAGAAAGGAACTATCATGTGCCCATTCTACCAGGGAGACGACTGAGTCAGAGAGAGATTCTTCCTGGCTCAGAGACACAAGGGGGTTGAACTCTGTATGGAAGCCAGGCAGTCTAAGTACCATGCCTTATTTCTCCAATACCTGACTCACAAGGAGGACGAGGAGGAACTGGAGGCCATATGAGCTGGCAGTTCCCTTCTGGTGTGTCCATTCCTCCACATACTACACAGTCATAACAACCCATGAACTACCAGACACCTGCATGCTTGGTAAGAAACACTGCTGAGCAGCTCAAATATGCTATGATCTGCACCCCTACAGCATTTGTATAATTTGGATATCATCCACTACTCCAATTACTAAATGTGTAAACAGGCCCTACACAAGGTCACAAGGCCAGGGAGCAACAGAACTAGAAGAGATCAAAAATCAGACACAAAGGCAATGTTTATTCTGTACTGAACTTGAGTTTTCATGTGGGAATGCTTGTATTTGTTGATTTAAAAAACTTCATTTAAAAAATTTTAAGATTTATTATTGCTTGCACATATGTGCTAAGATATATGTGCCATTGTGCACGTGTGGATGTCAGAAGACAACTTGGTTGTGTTCCAGAGATCAAATTCAAGCCATCATGCTTGGGCAGCAAGAGTTGGGCTGAGTCATCTTATCTATCCTAAAACATCTTTTTAAAGTCAAAATCTTAACTTTAAATGTTTGTATATAGCTAGACTTGCAACAGATGTCTTCACAGACCCAAGGTTTTTCCTTTGAAATCAGCTGCTGTTCCATGTTTTGCAACCCAGGAAGCTCAGAATTGGTAAGGCTTGTCAGGGTGTTAGGAGGAAGGTCCACACACAACAGGATGGTCAGAAACACTTTTGGGAATGATGGTGGCCATTTATTTTAATCCTCGATCACCAAGCTACCTCAAACACAATTTACACTTCAAGGATGCACGTGCACTTAAGCCGATCCACGTCCACAACGAGGAGAAGCTCCAGGCAAGAACTGTATGGAGTGTGAAAAGGGGATCACAGAGGAAAGTAGAATAAGCAGTGGGGAGGTCACCCCCTGTTCTTGACTGCTTGACTAGTTGTGGGGTAGTAGGAGGGAGGTCACCCCCGTTCTTGCCTGCTTGACTAGTTGTGGGTTCTGCAGGACCACCAGCAACTGCACAAGACACTTCTCTGATGAGGTCTGAGAGCTGCACTATTATGGGTAGAGAGATGTGAATTTAGACGTCAGTTTGATACTATATACAATTAGCAGAATAAAGTAGTAGGTTCATGTAGTGACATTTTAATTGTATTTTAATAAATAAAGACTGCCTGAAGATCTGAGAGCAAAACAGTGCCACTGGTCAGCCTTACAGACAAGGTTATGGTAACACACACCTTTAATCCTAGCAGCCACACCAGTTGCCATAGAAGTCGGGTGGTGTATGCCTTTAATCCCAGCCCTAGAGAGGAATATAAGACAGGGTTGAGGGAGACAGCTATCAGACACAATCTCATTCTACGATTACCTAGAGACAGGATCGCCATTTCAATCTGAGGTCGAGGTAAGAGCAAGTGGCTAGCTGTTTGTTTTTTAGATCTTCAGGTTGAACCCCAATTTCTGACCCTGAGTTTTTAATAACTGTGCTTTAGGTTCACTCTTGGGGCCTCTGTGCTCACCAACCCTAAGTTCTGGGCTAAAATTATAGTACTGGCATGTTTCCTCCTGTGGAGAGGGTCTTAACTCTACTGCTTTAAATAAAGCAGCTGCTTAAACCCTCCCCATAACTTTTGTGCCACCACTGCACTGGTGGTCACAAGAGGCCATGCTGGCCATTATTATAGTTCACAGTATGCAAGTACCTCCTAATAAGAGCCAGTCAGCTGGGAGGACGCTTCCTGTTAGCACCAGCTTGATTTCTCCATGTTCTGTGACAAAAGTCTATGGTGTCTCGGCATTAGGATTTTACCGTCAAGTTTGGGTGGACAGCCAGGATTTGTGGCAATAACCCATACTGTTTAGGGGAAATACCCCACTCATGACACTGGTTGCCTGCCAAGTTTCTAATCCTGGACTTCTGTTTGACTTATTCCTGTTTGTAAGGCTCTATTCATGGGCAGCTTCCAACAGTGTCTTCTGCTAGTTCCAGGCCAGGTTAAGCACCCTTGGGGCAAGCATAGATAGGCCACAACTTGTTTTGAATTGCTTTCATGTCTATTACTAGTC